TGAAAATTAAAGTTAATAGGAATTCTTTGGTAAAGAAATATAAATATAGCAAACACTTTCGAATCACTTCTGGAAACAGGTGGAGAAAGGAATATTTACAATCTAAGATCAGCTTATATTCTCCACAACAGGTAAAATAGTTTCATTTAAAGTGAATGATATTGTTTAAATGATGAGCGTTATCCCAGGAATATGTGGTGATGGGAAAAAGTTAGAGCTATCCAGGAAGAGATGGAAAGTTCGTTCTCTTCTTATAGACTCTAAAGGACAAATAAAACGCTCAGTCACTTGTGTATAATTTGGAAATTAATCCTTAATTGTGTAGTTAATTGAGTTGCAACCGTTAATGTTCTATTGTGTATTAATTATAGTTTATTGGCTTATATTTAAGCTTGATATTTGAACATTTTTTTGGAAGTTAAAAGTGTAATTGTTTTTGTATGTTAAGTCACTGAATAATTTGAAGCTTTGTATTTATAATTGCTTTTATTTTTTATCTTGTAATTTTTAATGGTTTGAATGAAAATTTAGTTGAAATTCAATGGTAAGTCAACTCAAGTGAGTCAAGGTGGGGAGTATTACATATTCCAGCAGCGTCATTCTGACTAGAGGCGCTGCGTTCGTCCTAAAGTCATGGCAGGCAGGATACTAAAGGTGTAAGACGTTGAAGGCAGAGATGCCAATATTATATCTAATTGATTGAAAAATTTCGTATATTTTCTTGTAAATAAATGTTGTATTGTTAACAAAACCTCTTATTATCTCTTGGATGCACCTTAGTCTCACAGAAACCATGATGCAAAAGGGTACATGTCAAAAAATTGTCCAAAATTGAAACGTGAACTTATAGCTTCATCGAAACTCGCTAAATCAATCCAAAAATCACCCTTGAACAAAGTCTTGTCTAGAACAGAGAATGCAGTTAAACCGTCATAAAAAAACCCTGCAGTAAATTCAAAAACTTCTTTACATCTTCCAGTTCAAGAAGTTCAAAAAATTTCCCATGTCATCAAGCCAATGTTTATTCTAATGTTAGTCTTTCGAAGAACAAGAGAGAATTCTAAAATATAATTTAAACTTTCACAAACCTGATCGATTCCAAAATTTTGGCCCTATCGAAAAAGCTTCAGTTCAGTAAAGTTCAGATTCACAGAAAAGAAATGATTAGGCAATCTTATCGTCATAATGTGAAATCATACTAACCTTTGCAACCAAATCTAACTGCGAGGAAAAAGAGCTACATGCGTGAATTCTAACCGGATATATATATTTAAAAGGCCGGACAAAGGTGGCCAGATAGTCGTCATGGATAGGAACACTTACATCGATGGTGTCATTAACTCTAACGAAGAAGCAATATAATCGATCCTAAAGATCCTTCACCTTCGGTTGTCAAAAAAAAAAACTGCAATCAAATCTTCGCAAATCATTTCAGGCAACTTAAAACTTCATATCCCATCTGTTGCGAATTGTGCCAGATTATATGCTCTTCCCAAAATTCATAAAAAGTGGTATTCCTTTCGTCCTATTGTATAAATTTAGTACTGCTCAATCATTAGCTAATATTTAGTTTCTAGATTTTCAACTCTATTAGACAATAACATTTACACCATAAAAAATCAATAGAATTTGAAAAAAAGTTAAAACATTTCTCTAGTAATTTACTCATGTTTCTTTTGATGTAAATCATTATTCACCAATGGCCGAGGGGAGGGTGCATTAAGATGTTAGAAACCGACTTCGCGAATTTCATTTCTCTGCATCGAAATTGATGAGCTAATTTCTCTCACAACTCTGTTTGAAACAAACAATTTGTTTTCCAAAAAATATTACAAGCAAACTGAGGGATTAGCCATGGGAAGCCCCCTCAGTCCCATCTTGGTGATATTACATGCATATTATGAATCAAAAATTGTTTGAAACTTTAAACTTCCCGGCATGTTCCGCCGTAGACGATACTTTTACTCTGTTGAAGTAATAAAGCTCATTTAAATAAAGTTCTTTCAAACAATGAATTCTATTGATCCTGCTATCAGTTCACTTTGAACTTGAGACTTGCAATTCTCTTCCGTTTCTCGACATTCTGGTCACACGTAACACATCCAACTTCAGTACTACGGTTGACCGTAAACCTTCATTGGTTTGCCTTCCACCACACTTAAAATCATGTCATCCGACTAACAAAGTTAGCTTCATTTATTCCTATGTTTCCGTGCTCTTCAAGTTTGCTCCTCCAAACTAGCCCTTGAAGAAGAACTAAATTATTTAAAAGCATAGCTATTGACAGGGGCTTTCACCCAACATTATTATCAAGCAGTTAAAAAATTCTCATCTCAACACACTAAAAGGCACACTCTTGTTTTAGGAGATTATAAAACTTCTGTTGTCATTCCCTTCTTTCCATCAATAGCTATAAAGTTGCACATATTTTGCAGAAATTAACTTTCGGGTTGTTATTCTCCCACCAATAAAATTCCGAGTTCCATACTCAAGGACCCCATTCGGATATGAATTCCTGGGGTATTTATAGGGATTCCTTGCCAGTGTGGTTTAATTTACATTGGCCAAACTAAGAGAGCCTTAAAATTCCGTCAAGGAACAGAGGCATATGTTAGAAAAAAGAAAAAACACAGAAGTCTTCTGTTGCTCAACATTGTTGGTCCGAAAACCACACTTTTAGTTTTTCTGCTGCCAATGCCAAAATTATTCAAAAAAACATCTTCCATTGGAGACTGGATTCTCTAGAGGCATTTCACATTCATAAAAATCTTTCTGTTCTAGTTAACGATCCTAATTCCAATCCAAATTTGCCTTCGGCCTTTAAAGAAATTATGTTTTAGTTCTGGTTTCACCAACAGATGGCGCCACTTGCTTATTCTTGTCCAGGCTTTCTTATCTTATCTAATCATTATTTCCTATTTTGTTCATTTGCGGTTTTGCAGCTGAAGATGGTGGTTCGGTAAAACTATCGAAACTAGTCCTGTGAAAATTTTGTAAATTAACGCTGATTTTTGTTGTTTGACTTCTGAATTAGTAATTATTCACTTATGCAAATAATTTTTTTTTTTTTTTTTTTTTTTTTTTTTTTTTAAAATTAATATTCATATAAATTTTAGATACTTGCACTTATTTACAATGTCAAAATTTAATGAATTGTAAATTAGTTTGCAGCAATAATTAATCTTTTTTTGTATGCAATTAAATTTCATAATTTATAATTTAATTTAAATTAGCTTTATTAGAATATTCAATATTCTTGTTTATATTCAAATTATATGTAGATATATATATATTTATATCTGACTGCTGCTTAGATCCAGATTTTTATAAATATTATATATATTTTTTTTTTTTTTTTAAATTTGAACTTGTCCTATTATCGATTTCTCTGATTTTGTTAAATGCATTCAAAATTTAAGAAGACTGTGCTTCAAAACAGAATGTGCCAAAGTGTGACTTAATCCCAAAATGAATGAACTGTGGAACAGTCAAACTGCTTGCAAAGTACACAAATGTCTATATATTCCATTCAACATGTGCAGGGATGTAGATCAGTGGTAAAACTGTTAAAATTACTTGAAAACCAAAGTTGAAGCACACTTATATATAAAAAAATTAGCATGTTTGACATTTAAAGTAATTAACCTAATTATTGATTGTATTTTTTTTCCATTGTGCTGTGGTTTTACTTATATTTATCTGAGACTGATATAAGGTTTTAATTTTTTGTATGTGTGTGTATGTTTTACCAAAAAAAAAAATTTTTTTTGGGGGGGGGGGGTTTTGTTTCTGTATTAAAAAAAAAAAAAAAGGAATATGTATGTTTAGGAATTAAAATGATTATACCAAATGTTATGAGCTGTACCTGTAATTTGTAACTAAATGTATATGTAACTTATTTGTGGTACATATATATATTGCATCAAAAGAATATCTTCAAATTTATATTTATTAATGGACTTGATACTACACTTGATTTACATATGCTTTCAGAATTAAGATAATTGTAAATTAATTTGCAACAATAAAATCATTATTTGTTGCATTAAATTCATTTAAATTTATTAACTTTAATTTGTAAATGAATAGAAAATGTTTGTTAAATATATATATGTACTTACTGAATATTTTCAGCTATTTGAAGGCTTGCAATAGAACATTTCAAAATATTCTGCCTTTTCTGGAAATTGTTCCAGAAAGTTAAGATGGTATTTCATAAGCAAATCAGCTTTTGAATTTGTTAGCTGTTAAATCAGTATATATTCTTGCTTTGTTTTATAAAAGTAAATGGATTTGTTCTAATTTTACTTTCATGAAACTAGGTCTTAAGTTATTATGGATAATGATATAATGCTTAAGTTGTTATGGATTTTCATCTTTTTTTACCTAGACAGCATATTCATTCGATTAATTTCATATTGCTCATACATCTGGCAGTTACTAGATTGCATTAAATTTCATTTAAATTTATTAACTTTAATTTGTAAATGAATAGAAAATGTTTGTTAAATATATATATGTACTTACTAAATATTTTCAGCTATTTGAAGGCTTGCAATAGAACATTTCAAAATATTCTGCCTTTTTTGGAAATTGTTCCAGAAAGTTAAGATGGTATTTCATAAGCAAATCAGCTTTTGAATTTGTTAGCCGTTAAATCAGTATATATTCCTGCTTTGTTTTATAAAAGTAAATGGATTTGTTCTAATTTTACTTTCATGAAACTAGGTCTTAATTTGTTATGGATAATGATATAATGTTTAAGTTGTTATGGATTTTCATCTCTTTTTACTTAGACAGCATATTCATTCAATTAATTTCATATTGCTCATACATCTGGCAGTTACTAGATTTCTCGCACATAAACATTTCAAATTCACCTCAAACAAAAATTTCAAGTTAATAGTAAGACAAAGTTCTGCAGTTTAGTTGAAGATTTAATTTATTTTAAGGATTTTTGTTGTACATTACATATCTTAAAGAATTCCTTTTTTTTTTTCACATACTCTAGGATTGCAGGTTATGAAAGACTCATAACTTCCCTTTCAAACTGTGAATTTCTAATGCTAAAATCTCAGCAAGCTCAAATAGTGAATGAAGCTGAAATCACTCATTATGAAGAATTATATTCTAAGATAGGTAACTGATATTTCAGCTTATTTTCTTGACTTGTTCTCTAATTAACATAGTTGATACTTATTATATTGATTGCATATTGCAGCTGATTGAAGATATCCATTTTTTTTTATAGTACCCTTCTTTTTTTTTTCTTTAGCTGAGTCATTATAATGAACATCAACTATAGTTTCTAAAATTTCACATTTATTGTGTGTTTGATTTTGTGAATTATTTATACACTAATATCCCGGTTTACACTCTTAATTCGTGGGGAGAAAAAAACACTAAGTAGATCAAACGTAAAATGGGATCAATTGCATTTTTTAAATTGTCATATGAAGTATTTTGAATTAAAAAAGAACTCAAATACAATAAGATTAAAAACAGTACTTAACACTAAAATACATACTTTGAAAAAATTTAATTTAAGTATTAATTTAGTTATATTATTTCTTTATTAATTAATAATTTTTTATTCAATTTAATTTTTCTCTTCCTTTTCCACTTTTCTTTATTTCTTTTTCTTTTCATTTTTTAAATAAGTTAGAGAAGTTACAAACTTGTACTGCACATAATAACTGCTTTAACTGAATTGTTCGCAATAATTTTGTTTCAGTATTAAAAATAAAGTAACTTATATAGTTGGACAAGTCAAGCTGAGTTTTTAGATTGTTATCCTGCCTAACTTAGAGATACTGTTGGTGACACCACAAAAATTACAAATCTTCAATATCAGTTAGGAAGAAAAACACATTTGAGTGTTTAACACTTTGATTAAAACTGAATTATGATATTTATATTGTAGATCTGATCGTGTGATATACACACATTTCAGTGAAGACTCAAGTTGGTTAAAATATACTTTATTCCTCAAAAGTTAACTAAAATTTTGTGTCTATGGTGTTTCAGAGTACGGACACAGACGAAAAGGATTTTTACCACTCATAATAATTAAAATATCAATTTTTTCTTGAGATAAAAAGGTAAATTTTTTTAGGCATTAGTGAGATACTTAGAAAGTTATGAAATTTTTGCTGTGTGAGATTTACACCAGCAATCTCCATAAAAATTTCTTGAACAAAGATCTTCACCTTTCTCAAAGAACCAGAAATATCAGAAATGAAGCAATGGCTCAAATAAATAATCTGTGACTAAAAAATAATTATATTGCACACTTTTTAATTCTTTTTTTTTTTTTTTTTTTTTTTTTTCCACAAGGCCAATCAAATTTTGGAAACATATTTAATTTTGTTATTTAAAATCAACATTACTATTTAATTTAGCAGTGCTTTTATATATTGTACTGCGCATTTTATCAAGTCACACATAAACAAAAAGAGGAGGATCATTTTAACATTGGAAAGTTTATAGGGAATGGTAATAGAAGGTGACTGTGTCCAAAAATGTCTTTGTCTCGTATGTCATAAGTCTAGTAAAATTTCAGTTCATATTTAAAAATAATCTAACAACTGTAACAGAAATAAAAAATGTGATTTGGATACCACATGATGTCCTTGTATGGCCTATTTAATTTTATACAATTTTTGCTGCACTTTGCTTAAACTTATTTCCTCTAGTTATTCTAACTTAATTAGCTGATTCCTTAAGGCAAGTTGAAAATAACATAAAAAATTGCAAATTTTGAAATTAAATATTCTAGTCAGCTTTTGTTGTATGGGAGTAACATTTCTTATAATTTTATTTTTTCATAATGAGTGCAAAACTTTACAAAATATAAGTATAGGAGTTAAGAGACCAGTGTAATTGGAAGTATATGGCTACAACCTACGATTGGGAAAATAAAGGCAGAGTGAGAACTTTTAAGCTGCAGAAAGGGTGTGTGTGTGTGTATGTATACACTCATTTGGTACTGCCAATTGCAGTAAAAATGTGGAGTGCACAAATATTTTAACAGTTCCATACAAAATTTCAACATTCTATGGTTAATTGTTTTTTGAGTTATGCGAGATACGTACATATGTACATGCAGACATCACGAAAGGATCCATTTTACAATCTATTTTGGAGTAGAGTCCTTTATTATGTACAGATGTCATGCAAAAAAATAGTTAAAATGGATATTTCCTTTGAAATTTATCGCAATTACATTACTTCCTTAACTTCACACATAGAAGTAAAAAGGGGTTCTTATTTCATTGAATATGTATTATAAAATTTAAAAATTATATATAAAGAAACTATCTAAAGTCCCCCCCCTTCAGCCAGTTGTCAGATTTTTGTAAGAGTTTCAGTGCTGTTTTTTAAGACCTCTGTTGTTAAATCTTTTTCAATTTATCTGCAGCAATATTTTCTAAAACATTTTCAATACATTAATTGCCTTGTGATCTATTTATATTATCGGTCATGTCTTTCAGTTCTGCATTTGATAGGTTTTTGTGCATGAGATTCCATCAAATTCTTGATGTCCTCTTCATCAACTTCATTCATTTCTGATTCATGAGATGTAACAATGATTTCATTTCTGCCCATAGTTTCGCTCACATTTTTGTAAATTTCTGACAACTTTCCAAATTTTTTTCTACAGCTTGAAGTCACTTGATTCCAAGCCTGCTTTTTCTTTTGCAAAACATTTGTGATGATATAATTTTTCCAAAACTGAGCTACTTTTATTTTTATTAGAATCAGTTTTGTCAATTAAATTTTGAAATGTTTGCCACAAGTAGTGTGCTTTATAATTGGATATCACACCTTGATCCATAGGTAGCATATGCCATGTCGAATTTGGTAGCAGATTGATAACTTCTTGTGTCCATGAGCATTATTTATTGAAAAAAGCCTTTTGATCCAGTGTTGTTTTAATGGCGATAATGCTTACCGATGAACAAACTTTGTTTATAAGCCAACCTTCAAACGTTCTATAGGATTTTCTATTTGTTCACTGAATGATGGGAAGTGTTGATTTATCCATTTGTTTCAATGGGTATGGTGTTTCAGAATGATACCTAAGCAAAAGTTTGAGTTTAAAATAACCTTTTGCATTACCTCCTAAAAGTAAGGTGAGTCTGTCTTCTGATGCTTTTAGATCCAGGAGCACATTTTGCATCATGTGAAATGTATGTATATGATGGCATCCTCTTCCAAAGTAAATTAATTTCATCCATACCGAACACAACTTGTAGTTTAAAGTTTCCATAAGTAATAATTTTCTTTAAAATTTGTGAAAATCCTTCTGCAGATTTATTATCAGCATTTGAATCGATCAAACCTTCCTCAATTAATCACAAAACATTCAGTTGTATTACCAGTTTCTTCTTGTATAAAATTAAATATGCTTTTTGCTTTTGCCATAACTATGACTTGACTTGAATTTGGCTTGAAGAAATTTTATGTAGTGTTTTGTGATTGATCCAAATGCTGAGTTGTCTTTCCATTTCTTCAAAAACTTGGCGGGGAAACTTTCACTTTGAGGTTGGCAGGATGCCAACTTGCTGCCCACCTCAAAAAAAATATTTTTTATTTTTTGCAAAACATTTAAGACAAAATTATCCATAATCACCATAAATTTATAAATCCATAATCAGTAATGCACCCCCCCCCCAAAAAAAAATATATATATACTGTATTTGACGGCATATAAGACGCACCCTTATTTAGGCGTCCTTCACGTATAAGACGCAGGTAACTTTTTTGAGACCAAATTTAGGCAAAAAAGTGTGTCTTATTTGCCGTCAAATACGGTATATAAATATATATATTATGCACAAAAAAAAAATCTGTGAGCTGAAATGCATGAAAAGTAATATGATGAGCAAAGGACCCTATAATGAAAATTAGCGTGCATCTATATTATAGCCGTACAGATCATTGCTTGCAATAGCGTTCATCATCTGATCGTTCTTCATGTCATCAACAGCCTAACAATGTGCAATTCAATTCTATAGTGATTTTTTTTTAATTATTCTTAATGAAAAGTAACTATTAATCACTTTCTAATACAAGGGGAAAAATATGAAATTTTAGATTTTTGTAAATTGATTTGTTAAAGTATTGTATCAAATCAGGGCAATGTAAACTGTAGTATTAAGGTATTATTGGGATACTTTTTATGTAGAAGTCAACAATAGCCTTGTTATAGTAATAATTATTATTATATTATAAGTAGTTATTAGATTCATTATTTTTAGGTAAATGCGACTGAGAAGTATAGATATACTGAAATTTATAAATAATGGCTAACCAGCTTTATAATTAAGACTAACTGATTGAAATTTTAAATATATTGGAGTCAAAAGAAATTATATAATAGATAATTTTGGACATTTTTCTTGTATATGAATGTGTAAGCCTTAAGATCTTTGCATGGTTTCATTTTCTTTCTTTATTTTTATGTGAAGGCAGTTTTAGTCCTCAAATGCCTTTGCAAAAATATTATAAGTTTAAATGTAAAACCACTACTTATATGGAGTCTTCTTATTAACAGTGTTGCCTTTAAGGTATATTTCTGTCACTGATGATAAATAGTATAGTACTGTCATTTGATAGGCACATTAAAGATGCCACATGAAAGCAATAAATCTTCAACTTTTGCTATTATTGTTAGCCCAAAGGAGCATTAGCTCAGAAGGGCTATTAATTTCATGTTAGCATTTTGCATTGATTCACTTTTCAAACTGTTGCCACCAAGTATTACAGCCCTGTATTTTACTTTAAGAAATTAAATAATGAAGAATTTGCATAAATATATGTGTCTTTCTCGCACTGTGATAAAACAACGGTATCTAGAGCCAGCAAAATTTTGAATAACAAAATCCTCCTCTGATATTCAGAGGAGGACGCTTCATCTGGAAACCCAAATTTGGAATTTGTTTTATTATTGATTTCATATTTTGTAACACTTTAACGAATTTTTTGTTTAAGAAACTCAACAATTTTTAAGCAAGCAATGGCAACACTTATACGGGGGGGGGGAACGTTTTTATCTCCAGTGCATGAAACTGTATCGGAAATTCTAAAGATATGCTCATTTTAAAATTATTTTGCAATATTACTATTGAATTGAA